GGGGGGGCAAAAAGACAACAAAAAAATGTTGCCTTTTTTACCCTCCGCCCCCCCCCCCCCAAAAAAAAAATCGTAAAAAAATTACCACAAACTTTAAACACCATCTTAATGGTCCCGAAAATTTGATCGAAAGAAATTTCGTCGATGGTAAATTGATCGACGGAAATTTGCACGAACGGAAATTCGGTCGAATCTTTTTTCAGTTTTTACGTTAAAATTTTGCTTCAAATTTCTTTTTGAACGCACCATACTATGTTTAGAACAACACAATAATGTGTATGATCAGGTCAATAAATATCGGATTATCAAATATCGGATTATCAAACAGAGGATTACCAAATTTTATAGTGTTAACCAATATTTTAAAGTGTACCGTTTAAACTAATTCAGTAGGAAATATCGCGTTGTAAAGATATTTTAAAATTTTGTTTCGAGGGAAAAGGAGGCTACCAATGATAGATTTTTAAGAAAATAAATTGCGTTGAACAATGAAACATAGAAGGTGTATTCAAACAAATAGAAAAAATGGAAAGTAATTCAGAGAGAAAAGAAATGACACGAAAAGGGTGCTCACTGCGTAATTGGTGCAAAGAGTTGTCGCGCTCAAATCGATGGGTACTAAACATGTATTAATTTTTCATCTTGGAGAAATAATCGCGTTGTCAGGGGTTCTGCATACACGTTGACAGGGGTTCTGCGTACACGTTGAAAGGGGTTCTGCGTACATAAAGGGACGTGCGAAAAGGGCACCCGTCTCGGGCACCATCTTTAGAAGGCGTCAAAATCTTCCTTTTTCATGCAAAATATTTGTTTTAATATGTACACGTTAAGAACGAGGGCGCCTTCAGCGGGTGAAAGTCGGGTGGAATCAAAGAGGATTGAAGATGAATGTTATCTTTTATTTCCATTTGCAACTTTTTTTATGTATAGCCTACATGGAAAATTAGAGTATAAAATTATATAATTATTTTATGGTTTTGACATTTTCATTTAAAAGTTTGAAGACTCATGTCAAAACTGTATTATGTGTAAGGAGGAAGGCATGGTTGAATATAGGTTGCTATGCTATTGTGTAAAGTGGAAATCATATAGTTTAGAACTGTCAAACCCGCGGTTCGCGGGCCGCAACTGGTTTTAAATTGCCCGCTATGTCTTGGGACATTTTTACCATTTGTGTATAAAAGAATTAACGTATTAATGTTAGATTTAGATGGGAAGAAAACAACGAAACGACATTCAGTAATTAAATATTGCTGGGAAACTGCTTGAGAGCACAAGAGTTGTGGCGGCATTCGAAAACAAAAGAAAGGGTTTGGCAAAAGGAGAGGGATGCTTGACAAGTAGCTGTAATTTATGTTAAGCGCGTCATTAGATCAACAGGGGGGGGGGGGGGGGGGGGGGGGGTTGTCATGAAATACGAAACTAACTTCTACTCCTCGGGTTTTTCGTCGGATTATGAGCTCAAGCGACTGTGCCACTGAAACATCTTTTAATATTAGCTGGCTATTAGCTAAGAAGCAAACAACCATATTCAGATGATGAGACTGTTAAACTCTGTTTTCAAGAATGTGCAGATTCATTATTTGCTGGATTTAAAAATAAAGAAGAATTTAAAAAAAAAAAATGATATTACATATCTAATCTTCATCTTTTTCACCAGACTTTAAGCAAGATGTCTTGAAAGTGTGTCCGGAGAAGATTGAAAGTTCAAGTCAAAGCCAAGTATTGCATTAAAGATGTGCTACAGTTTTTAATCCTTCAGATGATACCAGTGACGTAGCGAGGGTTTTTGGCGCCCGGGGACAAGATTCGCGCCCGGGGACAAGATCCATTTTTAGCGCCCCTTTTTCTTTTTTTCGACTCTCAAACCCATTATTTTCATCAATAAAATAATATCAAAGCACATTTTGGCGCCCCTAACTAGCTGGCGCCCGGGGACATCTGTCCCCACCTGCCCCCACCACGCTACGCCTCTGGATATATAATGGATATATGATTCTTTATAAGAAGTAGGGTTAGAAGTGTTAATAATTTTCATAATTTTCTAAGAAGTAAAAAAAAAAAATTCTTTTGAGGAGTCTTGTGCGTCCCGCGGCTAGAGATGTCATGTGCGACCCTACGCTTGAAATGTCATAGCGACCCTCGGCTTGAGATGTCATGTGCGACCCTACGCTTGAAATGTCATAGCGACCCTCGGCTTGAGATGTCATGTGCGACCCTACGCTTGAAATGTCATAGCGACCCTCGGCTTGAGATGTCATGTGCGACCCTACACTTGAAATGTCATAGCGACCCTCGGCTTGAGATGTCATTGCGGCATGCGGCTTGAGACGTCATGTGCGGCATGCGGCTTGAGATGTCATGTGTGACCTTCGGCTTGAGATGTCATGTGCGGCATGCGGCTTGAGTCGTCATGTGTGACCTTCGGCTTGAGATGTCTTGTGCGGCTCTCTGCTAAAAGAGACAAATATTTTGGCCCCGGAGTCAAAAATGGGTGGACAGCCCTGTCATAGTTGAATAGGTTATTCTGTAAGGTGTCACGTGGAAGTCATACTTATCTAGGTTTAATTCTCACTTTGAAATTTAACTTCTCCCTCTCTCTCACACACACACTATCTCTCTCCCTCCCTCCCTCTCTCCCCCACTCTATCTGCCTCACTCTCTCTCTTAAAATTTGTTTTGGAGTGTCCAGCTGTGTACGGAGCACCTACCACATTCTTTAAAACATTGAATAACCAAACAAACAAAAATATATTTATTTTCCCCATATTTTTTTCTGTTGAACTTTCATCTCAGAGGCGTAGCGAGGGGAGGGTAGGGGGGGACAGATGTCCCCGGGCGCCAAAATGTGCTTTGATATTATTTTATTGATGAAAATAATGGGTTTGAGAGTTGAAAAAAAGAATAGGGGGCGCTTTAAAATGGATCTTGTCCCCGGGCGCGAATCTTGTCCCCGGGCGCCAAACACTCTCGCTACGCCTCTGTTTCATCTTAAGGGCTGTGACTCACGATGGACGACCTCCAAGACACGTGAAGGTGAGTCCTTGTGGCCGGTATGCCTTGACTAATCACAAACAACATGTTGACATTTGACGCGCGTCTGTCTCTCCATCAGGCACCATGGCAACAACAAACAACTCTTAAAAAATTATCGATGCCGTCACCTTCTCTTGTATTTGATTATTGATAATCAACAACAACAATCGTCTCTCATTCAGTCTATTGTGATGATGGTAATATTATAATGTCATGCATCTCAATTGAAATGTTATTTTATTTTAAGATAGAGGAATATATATATATATATATATATATATATATATATATACATATATATATAATATAATATATTTTATATCACTCGAGCGCGCGAGCGCAAACACACACACACACACACACACACACACACACACACTCTATTGTGATGATGGTAATATTATAATGTCATGCATCTCAATTGAAATGTTATTTTATTTTAAGATAGAGGAATATATATATATATATATATATATATATATATATACATGTATATATAATATAATATATTTGACTTCACCAGCGAGCGCGAGCGCAAACACACACACACACACACACACACACATACACACACACACACACACAAACACATAGGCTACATACACACACAAAGACAATTTTTGACTCTTATTTTTAAAAATATGTCTTCAAATTATTTACAGCTCAATTTTTTTTTTCTTTCGATTTCATGGTCTCACAATGTTCTGTCTTATGTGCATGGTCTATGCAAACAGTCCACTCTAAATCTATAAAACAACTTGGAGCTGAAGTAAATCAGTTTAAAACATGTCTTACATTTCTACTTTATTTCGATCAGACCAATTTTAGAACATTTTAGACATCAGCTTTTGTATTCATTATCAATGGACGCCTCACTAGAAGGGCTATTGCAATGAACGGGTCTTGTGAGCAGACCTGCAGATACGCAGTGATCACGAATCAGGCTGAACCAGATCAACTCTGAACTATTATGTGTCGGTATTTTAAACAAAGGCATTATGGCATATGTACTTTGGAATAAACACGCCGGCTTCACATATTATTTGTATGTATCACCAGTTCCATTTGTCTCGGGCAGGGTGGTTTTTTTTTCTAAATACTTTTTTTGTAGCAGTTAAATGCGGTTGTGTGTTTCCTTGTCTGCGCGTGCTTATGGTGAAATAGTATCGTTTTTATATGAGAGTAAATTTTACTTTTACTTATCCTAAGCTTTTACTTTTACTTATTCTAAGCTTTTACTTTTACTTATCCTAAGCTTTTACTTTTACTTATCCTAAGCTTTTACTTTTACTTATCCTAAGCTTTTACTTTTACTTATCCTAAGCTTTTACTTTTAATTATCATAAGTGAGCAAATATTAAAGTAAGTGCTGACAACTTGGGATATGAAAAAAAAATAATTAAAACCCGTCTACGATTATCCGTGATTGACAAGAATACAATAGATTTCTGTAATACTATAGCGATGTTTGTAACAAAATAGATGTTTTTAATACCACAGTGTCCTCGTTTTATAGCCATTTTCATTGTTTCTATAGAATAGTAGTTACTATCCTAGTGTCTCATTTGTATTTACTTAGTAATATTTAATAATTGTAAAGCGCTTAGAGCTTTATGATAAGCGCTATATAAAAATGCCTAAATAAATAAATATATGTAATTTCATTGATATCTGTAATAATACCATATATATCTGAAATACCAAATATGTCTTAAATAACAAAGATGTATGAATGTAAAACTGTATGTAGCACAGATGAAATGTTTCTGCGCATAATTAACAAAAAAATAAAAATTACGAATCGAGATCTAATCTATCGATATGATCGATCTTAGGACAAGGCTTCATTGGTCTCACAGCGGCCTAGCTTTTTTTAAAACAACCACTCACGTGAACCGTACCGTTTCCACCAGGGCTGATGTCGTATACTTAGGACTTTACGCTTTACTGAAGCATGCATCAGTGGATGGCATAAAACGTGACAAGACGGTCGTTACTTTCCTTTCCATGTAAAGGCTCACCGTGTGAGGGCTCACCGTGTAAGGGTTCACCGTGTGAGGGCTCACCGTGTAAGGGTTAACCGTGTGAGGGCTCGCCGTGTAAGGGCTCACCGTGTAAGGGCTCACTGTGTAAGGGCTCACCGTGTAAGGACTCACCACGTGCATGCCAGGGATATGTTCTGTACTAGGGATGCCATGCTATTTGTTTTACAATATCTATTTGCATGGTCACCTGTCTTAGGGGGAAACATCTGATGCAAACATCTTGTCCTAACACTGACCCAGTAAGACTGGTAAGAGAGTGGAGGAGGTGGGGGGAGGGGGTTCCAGCCCCAGTCGGCCTTTTTCAAAATGAGTGAAAAAAAAAATATTTTTTTTTAATTCAACAAATAAAGAATTTCTTTCCATGACACCAAAATGTAGAAAATATATTTTTTAAAACAATTTTAGAATTCATTGTGGAACAAAAATACGCGCAGAAAATATTTTCAAAAAAAACCCAAAAAAAAACCCCAACATCTTTGAGTTTCTTCTCCATTTAATTACAATCCTCTGGAGTCATATAGTGCCTTAATATGTATTTTTAAACTATATTGTTGGTTAGAGCAGCGGTTCTCAACCTGTGGGTCGCGACCCATTTGGGGGTCGCGGGACCCTTTTCCAGGGGTCGCCTAAGACCATCTGAAAACATATATCCTTACAGCTATGAAGTAGCAAGGAAAATAATTGTGTGGCTGGGGGGTCGCCACGACACGAGAAACTGTATTAAGGGTTCGCGGCACTAGAAAGGTTGAGAACCACTGGGTTAGAGGGATGTTGGGAGGATCGGGTAACTGTTTAATTGGAAGAAGATGAGCCTTGCTGTTGTTGAAACATAGACCGAGATTTTCTTATGTCGACTTTTTAGAGTGACACCACTTCCTTGCCTTCAATGCTCTACATGATACGAGTCGTTAACTTATTCTACAGTGCAACAATTTAAAGCCCACTTAATTTCAGGATTACCTGCTGGTGTGGGAATTCAAAGTCTGGTATTAAACACCGCATAAACCGACTAATCAAGAAAGCTAGCAACATAACACAAACTAAACATCCTTTACTGGAAGAGCTATTTGAAGAAAGAAGTTATTGTAAAACTAAAATCATTTTGGATGATACATCCCACCCTCTGTACGACTTTGGCCCGCACATGAGGCGCAATCATGTCAGTTCCGTACATGAGACACACGCGAGTCAATTCGGTACATGAGACACAGGCGAGTCAGTTCCGTACACGAGACACACGCGAGTCAGTTCCGTACATGAGACACACGCGAGTCAGTTCCGTACATGAGACACACGCGAGTCAGTTCCGTACACGAAACACAAGCGCGTCAGTTCCGTACATGAGACACACGCGAGTCAGTCCAGTACATGAGACACGTGCGATTCAGTTCCGTACATGAGACACCAGCGAGTCAGTTCCATACATGAAACACAAGTGAGCCAGTTCCGTACATGAGACACAAGCGAGCCAGTTCCGTACATGAGACACAAGCGAGTCAGTTCCGTACATGAGACATAAGCGAGCCAGTTCCGTACATGAGACACAAGCGAGTCAGTTCAGACATGAGACACAAGATATCTAGTTATAATTATGCAAATCGGCTCCGTAAGAATGAAATCATATGTTTAAAAACCATTTCTAGAAACGAAATCAAGAAAGCATGATCCAAATTTTCAACTGCCTATGTTCCGTGCATGGTATTTGGCTTTTGTATATTTAAACGAATTCTCCTACATCCGTTTTTTTAAAAAAAAAAACAGATCATTTTGCTTCACAGTATATATATATATATATATATATATATATATATATATATCTTATATATATAAATGTGATGTAGGATTTTATGATGACCAAATCTCAAATAATCGCTGCAGACCCCTTCTTCTGTGTACGATGTGAAGGCAGTCCTCGAATTAGATTTTTTTTTTTTTTTTATCGCTGCAGACCCCTTCTTCTGTGTACGATGTGAAGGCAGTCCTCGAATTAGATTTTTTTTTTTTTTTTTTTACCTTAGCCTTAGTATTTGCATGAACATTGGGCGATGGTGAACAGCCTACCGTCAGATCTGGTATAGGTGTACACTCCGTCTTTAATGCCCACTAAGGCAAACTGAAGAATCATTGAGAAGGAAATGGAGAAGAACTTTAGACTTTGGTGCAAGTACGCGGCCATACTTTCATTCCGCTGTTGTATCAAATATTACTATGTCAATGTCATGAACTTTTTTAAAATATTAAATTTAGATATAGGTTTTATATATCGCTATGAACATTTCCCTTTAATTTGTATAAGTACTATAAGTTAATCTTATTCTTGTATGTAAGAATTTGTAGAATCATAAGACCTAGTAGTAAATAAAAATTAATAAATTTGTGCGTTCGTTTATTTCGCAATGCGTAGCCAGGATTATATTAAATCGCTTCAGGGAATAGTTTCTGCGAATAAAATTTCGAGTTTAAAATTGTGTAACGGAGTTTGTTTCCGGAAACAGCTGGCGTTGTTGACGGAAGTGCATTACTTTACTGTTATGATATCAATCATCTGATTCTGATCAGTTGATCGATTCTAAATACGTTTCATCTAGTTTCTGAAATATGTTTGTATTATCCTTTTAATTTAAAATGTGGGTAAAGCCTCAAGAAGTGCTTTTAGCTAATGCTCTTTGGTAAGTTGAAAGCAATATAATGTATATTAATTCTTAGATTTATCACATCATATGACAAGTTTATCCCGCATCAATTTTTCACTTCGCTTATTTATTATTAATGTGTCGGGTAGTCATTATTGATTATATTGGCTTAGTGTATGAAAAATCTAATTTTACTTTTTATAATTTGTTGGTCCAACTGTACAAAATATTAGTTTTCTTTAAAATTAATAGTTTTAGTTGAACAAACAGTTATTCACTTAGTAAAGTAGTTGGATTGTGTAGCCTAACTAAACTAGGACTTGACTAGGGATATAAAATTCAATATACATGCAGTATACGTATTCTATACAGTCCAGTAGATTGAGATGATTGTCAGTTACATTTGTTAGTTGAGTAAAGTTACAATTACCCAGTCACTTAGTTAAGGCAACTCCTACTACTACCCCTAGTAGTCTTCTTAGTAATATATAGGCTAACTCTTAGTCTTAGCTCTTCCTACTAGTACTTAGTAACTTTGTAGTAGCTCTCCCCAAATGTTGGTCCGCAGACCGGCACTGGTCCATGAGCTTTATCTTAAGTTGTCGGTCAAAAAAATAGAAGAAAATATAATTTTTAAATAATTAATATATCTGGCACTGGCCCCTAGTGCAATTTTTAAAATTGTCCACAGTTCCGCAAAACTTAAAAGTTTGGGAAACGCTGGGTTGGACTTCCTTCAGTTATTAAATACTAGCATTGGACCTAGGCAGGCTAAGAAGGAGACAGCATAGTACTTAACTCTAACATTATTTAGTATCATGACCCGTGTTATGGCTAACCATAAATTTATAATTAATGATACTACATACCACTTTAAAAAACTTAATCTAGTCTTGTGACTTTTCTATCAAATCTATGTATAGCCAGGATTACATTATGTGACAACAGACCATATACTTTTGTCAAGGACAGTCTTACTTACAATATCAGCCTATTGAGATTGATTATGACTTTAGTTATACACTCAAGAATCTACAGTCACAATAAGAGAAAATGAATCATAATTCAGATTAAACAACCAAGTGATGCTTTTTTAAAGGCCAGTCTTGTTTACAAAATCAGTCTGTTGACATTTATTATGATTTTAATTATAGACTTCCTTTTTAGGTAGATGTGCTCACACAAATTGTTTTCATATAATATTATAGTAATAAAGACCTAATTGTTGTTTTTTTTTTGGTGTTTTTTTCACTTTAGCCTTTAAGGACTACAAGTTTTGCTAGATCCTATGCTTATTAAATTTTAAATAATTAAAAAGCATAAAAGGCCTACATATTTTTACAATTTATGTGAAAATCTCTGATTATTTTGTATTGAGACAAGTTATTGATTGAATATTATTTTTAAGATATAGTCATGTAGGCCTCTACAAATAGCTTTGTTTAACAAAGGCATCAAAATTATTCTCTATTTTGTTTGTTATTGCTTTAATTGAGTTTTTTGTATAGAATACTGCAGATTATTACTGTCTTCAACTGACATTTTTTAAAAATATATTTTAATTTATTCAATATTTATTATTTTTAAAGACCATTCTCTCTCCCACCCCCACCCCAAACAACATTTATTTCATTTTTTAAATCATTAAAGCCTGATTATTTTCTGTATGAATCATCAGCTAGAATTGTTTATCTAAATGAGTTGTTCACACAAATATATGGCACTTATTAACCTCATAAATAAGTAACCTGTTAGCTGAAGAGATTAGGTAATTTATAGCAATGACCACATGTGTGGTGCAAAAAATAATCAATACATCTATCAGCAACGTGACCTACATTAGACAAAGACAGCAGCTGTCTACTGCAAACAAATTATTGCTTTCAGTGATCCCAAAACATTCAGTCTGTTTGGTTTTACTTGATGAGGTTGATTCATAAAATTATAAATGATAAGAGTCCCACTCCCAAGATTTTATAATGTCAAAGAAATCAATAGTTTTAAGAAACAGATGTTCACAAACTTTATTTGAATATATCTGCCTGTGCTTCCTTTACTCTTTGCTTTCGGTGATATTAAAGCCTCTTACTTTTTTCACGTGTGGGATTAAAACTGCTGTTTAAATTTTCATAAGACATTTAGCCCTATGTATAACAATCAGGAAAAGCAGTGCTCAGGGCAAAGCCTGAAACGGCAGCTACTCAATGTATAGCAAAAAGTGCCAGTAAAAAGATGATTTTTGGGACCCTTGTCTTTGTGAAGTACATAGGATTTTATCATTTAATTCACTATTATGGTCCTATCTAAAATCATTTTGGCGCACATGATGAGTGGCCCCTTGGCATGGCCCTGATCACTGCAAAGTATGGAAAGTTCTTATGTTTCTTTCAACCAAGCTTTTCTTTTTTACTTGATGGAACTTTCTTAAAGCCTGCTAAAAACTGCTATGAAACAGCAGTAGGGACCCAATGTCATGAATGGCATAACATTGTTCAAACATTGGCATGTGTTCATTGACATTTATATACTCATAAATAAATGGCAAGGAACATGTGCACATTGCTTACTGATGATAACAAGTGGTGTTGCATGTAACAAGGGCGATAGTAATTTTGATTTGGGTTTCAATCAAGATTTCTTCTATTTATGTTCCAAAGGGCAAAAAGTTTTTAAGCAGGGGCGGCTCAAGGTGGGTACAATGCGTAATCATCATACAGGCGGCAAAATTTGTTAAAATCAAAAATAAAAATTTTCTGAACTCTTCCCATAATTTTCCAGAGGGCAACAGTTGCCTATTTTCGCCCAACCTAAAAATGTCTAGCGCCGGCTCTGCTTTTAAGGCTAGAATTCAGTATTTGAAATCTTGCCTCACTGATTTTTTTAACAATAAAACTTTGATAAATGAAAGAAATTATTATTTTTGTTGAACAAGTCATTTAATATGCTTATATTTTTTCCCAGGGCTACCCAGCAAGCTAACCCATTCTTTGTTCTACAGCATAGAAAAGGATATGGAGGTGGGGGCCTCACTGGGTTGCTGGTAGGAACTCTGGATACAGTTCTTGATAACAAGGTTTGAAATTTTCATACATAATTATTCTCTTGGCGTAATTTTATCAAGTATTGTTTGACATACCCTAGATAATGATTATAAAGCCCTTTTCTTTTATAAGCTGACTCACCTAATTTTGGAAGGAAAAAAGCTGAAAAGTGTAAACCTGCTCATAAGCAGACCCCTTAAAATAATATACCAGCATGAGCAATTTGTTACCAAAGAATATCTAGGATGAGATAAGAAGGCCAACGTTATGATCATCTTTTATTATATACTGATAATCATAGCATAGTAACACTGTCTTTTTCTTGTGTCTTTGTTTATTAATATTTAAAACTTCTGATCTCATAATAAATCTTCTTTTGCATGGTAGACTAGGAAATAATTCAATGTAGCTTAAAAGCATTATAAAAAAAACCCATGACCCACTGACACCACCTATTCACCTGAAATATTTACATACAAATTTAGCTGTCACAGAGTTCATTAAAGAACCACAATATGCAGTACTTTTAATCCCCCTAAATTTGCGTTCTATCTTAATAATATTTCTTACAGTTTGATATTTCTAATTATAGTTAGTTTGATGTTACAACTAGTTTTAATTTTGTCAAGAATTATTATATGGACATAAATGTGAACTACATTGAAAGTTCAAAACAAACAAACTGTCATACAAAAGACTAATGTCTTTATGAAGTATTGATTTGACCCATGTAGCCTTGCACAGTCAATTTTTACTGTATCGGGTTTTCCTGTTTTGGGGATTATAGCAGTCAGGATGAATAAAATAGAGCTTAATTATTTAGATAATTTATGGAAAATCTCATGTGAACCAAAAATGTTTAGGATGGAAGAGTGACCACAACCATCACAGGGTCAGGGCTGTTGGTTAGGATTTTAAAATATTTATTATTTGGTACATCTGCATAGCTAACATGATAATTTGCAAACAGGAAACATGGAACTGCAGGATTGAGGAAAATAGATCGTTAGGCCAAAAATTATTTGTTTTATCATTGTAAGATGACCAAAGTGAGCCCAAAGGGGAAACAGGATCAGAGAAGTAGAGTGGAGTAGAGGGTTGATGGCTGAATTTGACAGTAGGGATAATGTGATGGCAAAATGATTTGAACTCACTAAGTTATCCAATCAATTATATTTTAGACAAGACCGTACAGAATACTGCACCAAACAGAAGGCTCAGAACTAAGTTATTGTAAGTTTTTCTTTCATCTACATTCTACTTATGTAATTCATTAAATTATTTTGTTAGAATTGCAGTTCACTGTCCTTTATTTTTTTCAAAAGGTTTCTGCAAGAGAAAGTTTGGGTTTTTTTTTGTTTTTTTTTTAAAATATTGTCTGAGAATATTTTTCATTACATGTTCAATTGTTCTTCAATCTATACTAAGGTTGTTCAGCAATGATTAATAACTGCAGAACTTGGGGGTGGAAAAAAAGCGAACAATTTGAAAAAAAAATCAAATTATTAAACATGTGCCTGTTAATAATAAGTCTTTTTTTATTTCTCTGTTACAGCTATAGCTGAGGCCAACAACAAGAGGGAGATTCAGCAACACTGGCAATGGCTTGAGACCAATGTAATAAATACTTGTGGTGAGAGATTTGACTAGCAACAAGTTATCATAGTGGTTTACATGGGGGGGGGGGGGGCAGTTGAGGGAGAGAGGAAAGGGATATCTAAAGGGAGATTTCTCTTTTATTTTGTTTCTATGTACTTGAGTTTTGATGGACACCGTCAGGCTAGAAACTTCCTCTCTCAAGCAGTTTTCCCACAATAACTAAAAAGCTTAATGGATCCATAAATAATTGTTGTGGGCTCTGTGGCATTTTTGTGTTTGCCCAGCACTAATATAATAATGTAATATGTCATATTCCTTTTACTGAATTTAGTTTTTCCATCAAACAATTTTGACAGGAAAAAAGTACTAAGTACACTAAAGGTTGTTCCGTATGTGCCACAAGGTACAAATATTTAGAGTATATGATAAAAAGAACTGGATTAAATCAAGTGATGTTACTAGATAAATATGTAACAAGCCAACCCTCAAAATGGCCTCTGACCACTACTGGCAGTCAATGTAACTTAGTTACATTAGTAACAAGTGACATGGTGGTAATTTTGGACAGGGGTTAAGCTAAGAGTGAGAGTGGAAATGACAATGTAACCTTTTCATCCTGTCTCGGTGCCACGTTATAACAGTGCATAAGAACTCTGTTGATTGCTATCAATTATGTTATGATGAAATCATAAAACTGAGTCATTCATATCACTACAATAAAAGAAAAAATCTTATTACCAGTTGTGCAGCTTTTGTGTACATCTGGAACTAAAGTAGAAGAATGTTAATGAAATGTAATTGTAGTGATTGCTACCTCCCTACGCCTTTGCTGGTATTTTTTCAGACATCAGTGAGTTGTCTTAATGAATTTGATGTTTCTTGTCTAATGTATACAGTATTGTTATATTATAGTAGCATCATTAATAATTCAAGTAAGCAAATGGTAAAAGAGAGCCTACTTTGACTAAACTACAAGATTATGAGAATTTCACAAATATCTAAACGTCTGCGTTGTTTATCTTTCTAGCTGCTTTTGACAATGATGATGATGTCACCGAGTTCATTAAGTGCAAAATCGAGAGCTTGTTGGCAAATGTGGAGCCCTCCAAAGAAGGTAATGGATTGGATTCATATTAGCCGTGCTAATATGTTTATGGTGCAATCGAACTGACAGAATTGTTTCTACACTTAATGAAATAAGGGATGAAAGAGGTTATTTTAACGTCTTTGTTCCTGTATTTATAAACGTAAAAACAAAAACATTAACTCAATTGTCCTCCCTTTTTTTTTTCAAAAGATGAAGAGGTTGAAGACCTGAGGACGTCAACTAAAAAGTTCCGCAAGTATTTCAACATGCCGAAAGAGGAGAAACTTGTCAACCGTGAGTTATAATTTATCTTGTCCTAGTAAATAATAATTCCATGTGTGCTAGTGAGTTAAAATTCCTCTTGTGTTAGTGAGTTAAAATTCCTATTGTCCTTGTGAGTTAAAATTCCTCTTGTCCTAGTGAGTTAAAATTTCTCTTTTGTTAGTGATTTAAAATTTCTATGTGTTAGTGAGTTAAAATTTCTCTAGTCTTAGTATGTTAAAATTCCTCCTCTGCTTGTGAGTTTAAAAAAATTCTTGTGCTAAGTTTTGCCTTCTTTTATTCTAATGATAATTAATATTATCCTAATAATAATTCCTTGCATCTTTTTCCAAATAATCTACTTAGGTTTATTTCATAATAACAGTTATTAGATTCTGACAAGAATTTCACTGACATGGCCATATGGCAACTATTAATAAATGTTAATAATTTCATGAACATTAAAAATCTGATTCCAGTTGTTTTTTTTTGTAATTGTCATTTTGTTTCTCCCTTTTTCAATTTAATAATTCAATTCCACTGCTAAAAATTTCTTGTCCCACTGTTTTTTGTACCCAGATTATTCTTGCAGCTACTGGAAAGGAAACATTCCTCGACAGGGTTGGATGTATCTCAGCGTCAACCATCTTTGCTTCTATTCATTTCTAATGGGCAAGGAAGCTAAGCTCATTCTCAGATGGGCAGACATCACTGTAATTCTCATTCATTTAAGCTACTTTAAATATTATACATTCGTCCTGTTTTGCCGAAATGAATGTTAGTTGGTTAAATTCCCTGTGTGAAAGTGCATTATTAATCATTCTTTCTTTTAATATTCTCCCAAATGGAGAGAGTCATTCTTTCTATTTTTTAGGATGATCATTTTGATAGGAATTTTTTTCATGTACATTTTTTAAAAATTCAACCTTTTTTCTGTTATGTACAAAAGGTCAAGTTTATCACCTAATTTATTTTGTGATGTGACTTAAGCTGTTCATAATTGATATAAACTAATTATAAATTAAATATTATAATTAATTTTTTCTTAAATTCAGAAACTAGAGCGAGGGAACAACATGTTTTTGCCAGATAGTGTTAAAGTTAGCACCAGAGATGGATATGTAAGTTATGAGTTATTTGCTGTGCCGGCGTTGTGCCCTTCCTTTTTTTCTTTCTTTCATTTGACTAATTAAAGTGAAGTTCAATTTAAGTTCATGCAATTCTTTTTGATTTAACTGATGAAAGAATTAGCCAAAGTATCTAAATTTGTATTATTTTTTTTTAAATTGTGGCTTAACTACACTGTTTTATTGACTTAAATTGTTTCTACTTAGGCCTTTTGCAGTCCAACCCTCCTTATAGTTATATCAGTCAAGTCTTCTAATCCAATCAACCTGTGCATATATCCGCTTACCTTTGAAGTTGTTCTTGTTGCATTTGAATTGTCTTTATTTTGTCTTTGACAGCACTACTTTTCCATGCTCCTTCATAGCAATGAAACATTTAACTTAATGGAACAACTGGCAAACATGGCCATGAAACAGTAAGATGATTTTATATTACTTTTTTGTTTTATTTAAGTGTATATAATTATATGTACAGTGGACTCTCAATATTCGTCCATGTCCATTTTCATAAAAATTTAGTATTTGTCCCGCACACCCTGTGAGTTAATCAGTCCAAATGCCTTTTTCTTTGTTGTTGAGAAATGACACCCAAACATTGCTGTATATAATTAGCGTATCAATTCATTTGATGACGATGTGTTTGGACGCTTTTGGAAATTTTAAAGAACTGTACACGAAAAAAAAACATTGGATAAGTTCTTTGAAAAAAAACAAGTGCTGGTGAATCGCCTGGAAATGCTGGTGACCCATCATCAGTGGACAGAATTGATATTACCTCATGTCATGATGGAAAGTGTCTCCTCTATCAAATAGTGATGTCATGATGGGAAGGGACACTCCCCTACCAAACAATATCAAAATGTCTATAAAATCATTTTTTTTTCACTGCCTCCTGTAGAACGATGGACCATGTGTTCATGGCAAGCACACAGTTACCACTTATGGTGATGTTTGTTTGCTTCAGTAGCTTGGAAGGAGGGAGGGAAGGGAAGAAGGGGTTTCACAAACTTCTGGTTAAAATGTTTATTTATGTAGGCCCACAGTATATTTAAGACATCATGATGAGTGAATCTCTGATATAACGATAAAGCATTAATAACTAATGGTAACTACGTAATTAAAATGCATTTTTATTATTGATTTTTTGAGTGCAATGTTTTTATAAAGAGTGGATAGGCCAAATTCAGGGCTGTGAATGGATTTTTTATTTCTTTCTATTTAAAAAATCTGTTTTATATTTTTTTGTTTTTGTATTTTCCCTTCCCCCCCCCCCCCCCATAACTGATTTATGATGAATATTGAGGATCCAATGTATGTTTATTTTAGAAGACAGATCTTTCTGAATCAGTATCGACATGTGAGATTCTTTAAGTGACTCAGAGATTAATGCATGTTTTGAGTAATTCTGACTAACCAAACTGATCAAGATTTTAAAAGTTGTTTTTTTTGTGTTGTTTTTTTACTTTGTCAGACTAATGCAAGAGCCAGGTTTTCAAGAGGACAAATCTCTGGCATCAAAAATAAAGTCTACCAAGTGAGCAATTTTATGAGTGGAAAATAGAACAAGAAAATGTTTTGCTGGCAGGATCTATTTAATTTTGCAAATAGCATAAACCTCCTTTACTTTAATATTTTTTCATTTGCATATCTCTGATAAATATTAGCCAGTGGCCCATCGAAAATCACATATCTTGAAAGACAAGCGTTGTAAGAGAAAGTCCAGTTTAAGTATTTTAAAGTAATATATTATATTTTTTTATTTGAGTCTAGGAATTTTATAGGTGTACTTTCCTTCCACCTTCTAATTTCAGAAAGAGGAAGAAAATATCTGTCCTCAAAAGAGATCTTGATGCCAAAGCAAGAAGTGAAAGATTCAGGTCAGATTTTGTTGTAGCATTTATTGTGCATTTTTGCTTGTCAACAGTTTTCTCTTTAAATGATTTGTTGAGAATTTTATTGTCAGCATCAAACTAGGATGTGAAAGGCAGCACAGTGAGATCATAACACTGGCCATTACACATCAATGTTCTTTCAGACTTGCCTTCAGACTTCCAGTCATAGAGAAACTGGATGGAGATGAGGAGTGCACTTTGTGGACGCCGTTCAACAAGCAGCATGTGTGGGGGAGGCTTTACCTATCCAACAACTATATGTGCTTTGCTAGCAGAGTAAGTAGAGCACTGTATGTTTATATGTGCTTTGCTAGCAGAGTAAGTTGATATCTGTATGTATATATGTGCTTTGCTAGCAGAGTAAGTTGAGCACTGTATGCATATCTTTATTAGCAGGGTAAGCACTATATTGTAATTGTGCATGTTAGTCAAGCACTATATCAGGGGTTTGGAACCTTTTTGTCTGAGAGAGCCATGGACACCAAATATTTTGAAAAGTAATTCTGTGAGAGCCATACATTATATTTAAAACTAAAAATTCAAGTAAATGTGTGCATTTTGTGTCATTTCAACTCTGAATTCTTTTTAATAACATTGTTATGCTGTTGCTAATCAATTATGAGTCTTTCTTTTTTTATAATCGAACATTTGTCTGTGAGCCAGATGCAGCCATCAATAGAGCCACATCTGGCTCGCGAGCCATAGGTTCCCGACCCCTTCACTATATGAATAACAACTAATGCATCTGTCCTTATGCAAGTGGTTGCCAGTTTGGACAAATGTTCTTGTTGCATGAGGTTCTTGGGAATAATAATTGTTTTTGCTATAAATCTAATAAACTGATAAGTTAGGGTAATAGTCCATTTCATTGTTTCTTAACAGTTGTTTTTTCTTTTATTTATTTACAAATTCATGTGGTGGTAAAATGCATTTCACTATAATCTTAATTGTAAAAATATGTTTGTGCACAATCAGGTGAAGGACCTTGTGACACTCATCATTCCCATGAGAGACATTTCTGTGGCTGAGAAGGTGGACAACTCTGCCTCTGGTAACCTAATCAACAAAGCTATTTTTGTAACAACCAAAAACAAGGCAAGTAACAAATAAAGAAATATTTAAAAAAAAACTAAAACCATTTCTTATGCCTGAAATTTAAACCAAGTTAATCATTTATTAAAGCTGAGATGTAAATAAACTCTTCTTAACTGATGCGTGATATTGTGCCAAAGAATCGTTTATTTTTAGTGTAAAAAGACAATCAGCTTCTGGTGTAAAGGTGCTTATTAAAGTATTTGTGATGTTAACAGCGGTGGATAAAGCTGAGTGTGGGGGCCATTGATTGGTCAAAATAATTATGAATGTTTAGAAGGGTTTGACTCGTTAAACAGTCATTTTAGTTTCAACATTTTGTACTTATCCCCTTTACCCTCATCTCCTGTCCCCAACAGTCTTTTTCCCTCCCTCTCTTTCCTATACTTTCTGGTTGTTAGACCCAAAACACATAATTCCAATTACTGTGGCATTAACTGAATTACTGTGAAAATGAAACGCTCTCCATCATCAGACAAATTTTACATTCTCCGAGTTCCAAGATCGCAATCTCATCCTTGAGAAGATATCAGACTTTCTGTCAAAGCAGCCCATTGTGCCAAGGTATTGTAATGAATAAAATATATTTATTTTCTTCTAAGCATTATATGTTAAATATATAGTGGATGCCGTAAATGAGTAAAAAAATAAAAAGACCTCTGGTGATCTTAAATGTATTTTAAAGTATTAAAAATAGTAATGACTCCTTATGATGTACCCAATCACTTGATAGCATTTTGGACTTAACTTAAATACTATGTTCAGATATGATGTTCAGCTTTCATGAACTTGATATGTTCAGATATGATGTTCAGCTTTCATGAACTTGATATGTTCAGATATGATGTTCAGCTTTCATGAACTTGATATGTTCAGACATGATGTTCAGCTTTCATGAACTTGATATGTTCAGATATGATGTTCAGCTTTCATGTTACAATGATCTGACAGTGCACCTTTTTTTTTTTATAAAACTATATTGTGTGTAGTTACACCCCTTGTCCTATATTAACCTATTTATTTCCCCCTCATTTTGATTCTAAATTTGTTTCCATCTTTATCTAGGTCAGTGAGCGTGTCAGAGGACAAAAATGGAGACACAGGTAACCTTGAACTTTTTCTCAGTGATTTTTTTTTAAATTTCTTTCAGTGACGGGCATTGTTTCTTGACCCCAATAAATGATTGAATATGTTTGAATACCATGTCACATTAATAAAGCTATTACTTTTTTTAAAAACCAAATTTAAACAAAAGGAAACCTTTAAATGAATATTTATATTTTTTCTTCCAAAAATATAGCCATTGTTTTTGCCATGGTTGCTTTTGAAATACAGAAATTTTTCAATTATTTTAGTTTTTAAAAAAAGTCAAAGTCACTTTATGGTTGATAGAAAATCACAGAGAATCTTTGTTTTTACCCCCAAAACGGTAAAACAATTATTTATTTATGAATAGCACATGTACACAGTCTAGATACTGGTTTTCTTGAGTGATATTTAGTTTAACTGTTACTTAAAGGCCTCCGAGTGAGGCTTCCAAATATTACCCAAACAGTGCACAGGTAATATTTTGATAAGGCAGTGTTACTAGTACCATGGAATCCTGCTGTAACAAAAATAATGCACAACCATCCACTTCAAGGTTCTGTCACCAAGTAAATTGCGGGAAGGGCGTTCATTAACTACTAACTCTCTCAAAACACAACACGCACAATAAAACACAATAACCGATGTCCAACAATTATTTGTGAATTCCCATGCTGGGGCACTCACATTTGCTACTAATAAAAATATAGGAGATATCAGTCTATATAGTTTATCCTATATGGCCCAAAGCACTTAAGAATGGACTTTTCCCCTCTCTGACATGATATACTCTGTTTGGCTACCGATTGTGTTTTGCACCTTTTTGTGTGATTTTGTCATGCAGCAAAGATATTTAAATGGTTAAATTATACAAGTTATGATTGCATGGTTGGATTAAGTTTAATTGAGATCTTTTATTACATTTGGATGATGGATATATAATTTCAAAACGTTTGTTGTCTTTTTTTTAGATACTGAATTAGAATTTCAGCCAGCCTTGATGAGCATATTTTCCAGTAAAGAGACAGAAGAGCTCTCACCAAGAGATGAAGCCAAAGAGGCAGCAAAAGAGCATATGTGGGACCTGCACTTTGCTGAGTTCGGCAGGTCAGGCAACCAGCTCATTCTATCAGCAAATATCATGGATCAGATTTTTATATTTAAATCTGTTGTTTTGTTTTAACCTGCCAGATTTGTTTAATCTAGGAAGTTAAACCAAGCTAACAATTTCAGGGGATGTCACAAGTAAAATCACCTAAGGAAAGGAACACACAGATTTTTTTAAGTAGCTTCTCTTTATATAAAAAAAAAGAGAAAGCAACCACCCTCCAACTAAAAGTGATTCTGTCATTTAACATAATATTTTAATTCAGCATCTAAAAAATTCTCTTAGCATCTAAAAAATTATCTTGAGATCAAGTCTCTTAATGTTTGATTAAATACCCCCCCACTTTTTTTTTCCCCACTGCCCTCTGCTCCAAAAAGTATTTTTTTAAATATTTTTTTTTTAAATTTTCTTTTACCAACTCTACATTTCCAATTGTGTTTTGCCTTCAGTCTAACAAAGGCGAGTATTTTATATTCCTAACAGAGGTATGTGCATGTACCGCACTCATGACACACATCAGCTTGTCCTGAAAGGAATCCCAGACCGCTACAGAGGAGAAATGTGGATGGTCTTCTCTGGGGCTGTGAATGAGGTGAAAACATAAAGTACCGTAATTTGTTTTCATAACCATAAAACCAATCAGTGTCATTACACATATGAATGTCTCTGAAATCCTTATACATCCAGTCAGCAATATTATTACACATGTTTGATATAACCATAGTCCATACCTCCAGTCAGGGTTACTATGACCCTTTTGTATGAGATCCTAACCATAAGTCCAGTCACTGACATTATTTTCTCCACTGCACTGTTCAATATATACATTTTAACATTCAACAAAGATCTTTGTCATGTATGATTTATCATCATTTAATTTTTTTCTTTCTTCTGTATGTCAAATAATAACTATGTTTGTTATATCATTTGAGAATATTGTTTTTATTTTATTGTTAATATTAGATTTGATTATTTAAAGTAACATTGGCTAGGCTCTTTTTATAATGAAAAAAAAAAAATGAATTTATCAATGTATTTTACCCCTGATTACAATGACGATAAAGTTTTTTTATTTTTTTATCTTGCCTGAAAAGATGGCCACTCATTCAAATTACTATGCAGAGATAGTGAAACAAAGTATGGGTCGTTCTTCTATTGCTACAGAAGAAATTGAGAGAGATTTACACAGGTAACAATTTCAACTTTTGGACACTCTCTTAACAGTGTTTTGATTTCTTTTCATTCAGTTAGTTTTCGGTTAAAATAATTGCACTTCCCGTAAAGGGTGGAAAATTATGAACTGTTCATTTCTTTAACCACAGAAACATTGTATACAGAATTTACAATCTTAATGCTGGTCATTTTCTTTATTTGTATATTTGTTCCTGTTGTTTGGCCAAAGGACCCGTAAAATACTTTATTTGAATTACTTACAAACCTGGATTTGGAGGTGGGTTTTTTTTTTTGCCCAAGCTCCACTTCAGCTCCGAGCTGAACACATTTTTGTTTGTGGGACGGTAGAATAGGGCGGTGCCAAGTGTTTTAAGAGATGTTTTTATTATTTTGACTAACCCATCTTATTTAGAAACGCATGTACCAGCAACATAACTGTAGAAGAGTGGGACATCAATTTTAATAATTAATTTCAAAAATTAGAAATTATACATTTTAAAAAAAAATTATTTATTTATTTATTTTAAAAATGTAGAGCGTGTAGCAGTACAAAATTTTACCACCTCCAGCTCAGGTAAAAGGCCCTGCTCCAAATAATGAAGTCAATTATATTTCCTGTGCTACTCAAAAGAGCACTATGTTTGTGTTTGTTACCATCATCATGCCCTAAAGCATTTCACCAATTGAGTTCGTTCATACAGGCTGTGAGTGAAGCCAAATATATTTCAAAGTCTGCATGCCTCACAGTTTATCTGAATAATCACATTGTTTAAATGATCGTTTCAGGTCTCTACCAGAGCACCCAGCATTCCAAACTGACCGAGGTATTGGTGCACTTAGGCGAGTTCTTACAGCTTATGCCTGGAGAAACCCGAACATAGGTTTGTCATAATTGTGTAGTATTGTTATTTTAACAATTTAGGTAAAATGGTAGTTGAATTGTTACTTTTAATAGTTGTGCACAAAAATTCATGAAGACAATAACACTAATGACATGCCATGTAATTAAAACAAGAAAACAAGTGACATGCAATTTAATTAACACAAGAAACAAAGTGACACGCAATTTAATTAACACAAGAAACAAAATGACACGCAATTTAATTAACACAAGAAACAAAATGACTCGCAATTTAATTAACACAAGAAACAAAGTGACACACAATTTAATTAACACATTCTCTAACTTTTTTTTTTATCAGGTTACTGCCAGGCCATGAATATAGTGACCAGTGTTCTGTTGCTGTATGTCAGTGAGGAGGAGGCATTCTGGCTGCTGACAGCTATCTGTGAACGTCTGCTACCAGACTACTACAATACAAAAGTTGTAGGAGCACTCATTGACCAAGGTGGGCACATGTATTTGACTGACTGTTTCAAATGTATAGACTAGACCTATTATGCAGTAGTTTTCTTCTTCATTTAAAATTAGACCAATTGTTTTAGTTGCCAAGATTGAGTGCACAAGTTTAGTGCCTTTGGCACATGAATCTTAGACTTTAAAGTACAACATCTATCTTTTACAGGAGTATTTGAAGACCTGATCTCAGAATATCTTCCATCTCTTCACCTTAAATTAGAAACCCTTGGACTTCTCAGTATGATTTCTCTAGCATGGTTTCTAACCATATTTTTAAGGTACAATAGTAAATCATTAAGCTGGTTATGTGTATAATAAAATAGACTTCAAGGGCTATTGAAAAATTAGAAATTTAACTTATCTCTCTAATGAATCTTTTATTTAATAGTTTCAATCATCGATAAAAAATCGTTTGTTTTGCCAGCAATGAGGGTATTTTGTTAAACAATTGACTTTATATATTTTACATAGTACTTAAGGAGATATAACATTGATGGTAATCCTTTGTATTGACCATAGTGTAATGCCATTCAACTGTGCTGTTAACATCCTGGATTGCTTCTTCTATGATGGAGCCAGGGTAAGGCTTGTCTAGTCTTTAAAAAATTGACCAATTAAAAATACTAAGCAAATGACTAACACCAGAATTTCTATTAGCAAACATGTTTTTGGAGCTTATGAAATTTATTTTATTAATTTATATTTTTAAAATGTATTGTTTTGCTTCTAGGATATAGTTAATAGCATATCAAATTCCTAGTTTTGAAAAAAACAACTTAGCTACAAGAGGTCTGCTTATTCCTGTTGGTTCCACAGGTAATCTTCCAGGTGGCCATGACCATTCTGGACACCAAGAGGGATGAGCTGCTGGAGTCACGGGAGGATGGCGAGGCCATGGCCGTCCTGTGTCAGTTCCTTGACAACATTGTCAACAGCAACTCCACCACACCAAACATAATGCACACCTCTAATGCAGCAGCTGTTGCTGCTCAGAATAAGGAGGTAAAGTTAGTGCTTGAATCAGAACTTTGGCTGGAAATTGTTTTATACTTTGGTAAACTGTCCTGCATAGTCTGTTATGTAATGGCTAGTTATAAACTGTCCCACATAGTCTGTCATGAAAAGGCTAAGCCTAAGCCTATCTGAAATCCTTAACATCATAAGCGCACATCTTCATCATTGGTTGAATAAAAACTGTTTCACTAGCATCAAGATGTCTTTAAAAGTTTTATGTTCTTCCAGAGTCAGGTTGATGTGGCTGACATCATTCAGCAGAGCTACCAAAAGTTTTGGTCCATCTCCAACCAAGACATCAACAAGCTCAGACTTAAGCACAGACTCAAAGTTGTTCAAGTAAGTTTAGCTTCACTTTTGACTGTTTTAAAATATCTTATCTTTTATAAACCTTTATTAACTGCACCTCGACGGAGAATCATTCCATTTTTCAATCATCTGGAGCTTGCTCATTCCTTTTGTAAAATTTATACCTTTCTAGGTATGTATTTTTGTATCATTGAATTATATAAAGTTTTGACAAGAATGTTATTATATTGTATCAGACCACTGAATTATAAAAAGTTTTGACAAGAAAGTTATTATATTGTATCAGACCAATGAATTATAAAAAGTTTTGACAAGAAAGTTATTATATTGTGTCAGACCACTGAATTATAAAAGTTTTGACAAGAATGTTATTATATTGTATCAGACCACTGAATTATAAAAAGTTTTGACAAGAAAGTTATTATATTGTATCAGACCAATGAATTATAAAAAGTTTTGACAAGAAAGTTATTATATTGTATCAGACCAATGAATTATAAAAAGTTTTGACAAGAAAGTTATTATATTGTATCAGACCAATGAATTATAAAAAGTTTTGACAAGAAAGTTATTATATTGTATCAGACCAATGAATTATAAAAAGTTTTGACAAGAAAGTTATTATATTGTATCAGACCAATGAATTATAAAAAGTTTTGACAAGAAAGTTATTATATTGTATCAGACCAATGAATTATAAAAAGTTTTGACAAGAAAGTTATTATATTGTATCAGACCAATGAATTATAAAAAGTTTTGACAAGAAAGTTATTATATTGTATCANCCCCCCCCCCCCCTTTTTTTTTTCTTCCTTATTTATGTATTTGATAAGTGCGATATGATGACAGTTATGGTTTTCAGAACTAAGGAATAGGTGAATGGGGTATGCAGGTCAAAGATCAATTTAACTAAGGTCAATATTTGATAAAACGTTAATTCTGATTAAGTTCCACAAGAACGGCCAATTCCCACTTCAGAATGAATTAAATATTTTGCTAAGCCTCTAACTTAAATATTGAAATTCATTATTACTACTTTTTTTTTTTATAAAGACAATCGGCCAGATTTTATTTTAAGAAATTAATCAAACGAACAAAATCAAAAAAATTGTTTTTTATTTATATTTACAACCTATCAAAAAATCAGCCCATATCGTATAGATTAAAAAAAACAACATATATCCACATTGACAGCTGTTTTCATTTAAAATTTGCAATCTATCCATTTCTGAATGTACTAAGCATGTGGTAGCTGCAAAAGGGGAGATTATACATGAATTTTTCCTGTTTGTTATGTTTTATGATGCGCCATATGAATATAAAGAGTTAGTCAAATATTTACGACAACATCAAAAGTTATATACCATCCATTTCCAGGAAGAATATCTGACGTCTTGCTACTGGCGGACACACCAACATGTTGACACCCCAGACAAGTTCGACCCAAACAGACCTTACTATGACCAGTACAAGGTGGATTTTGATCAGTTCAAGACACTCTTTCTGTCTCTCTCCCCTTGGGCCACTGGACAGTATGCTTCTACTCTGGCCTTGAGGACATTCAGGGTAAGATAAGACTGATCAATATTTGAGGACATTCAAGGTAATATAACAATGATCAATATTTGAGAACATTCAAGGTAATATAACAATGATCAATATTTGAGAACATTCAAGGTAATATAACAATGATCAATATTTGAGAACATTCAAGGTAATATAACAATGATCAATATTTGAGGACATGGGGGGTAAGAAAACTCTGGATCATCAGAATGTACAATTTTTAAACTAGTTATAGGAAATCGTGTGTTGTAAAATGTTTTCAACTTTATTAGAATAAGTCATATTTAATTAAAAAACTGAAGGGGCATTCACTTCATGGGGGCACTTTTGGAGTTTATTACCAACATTATATAATAGATGTGCGTGTTTGCATGTTAGGGGGAGCAATTTTGGGAGTTAGCCAAGGGCAGCATTTATTTAAGGTACCAGTAATGAGCTGGACTCATCAACTTGATTTCAAGCCCCAGAATCTGTGGAGACCATTATTTTAACAATTGCCTATTATCTCAATAATGAGTCTTTATATTATGACATTTTAAAACGGTATAAATTGTGTAAGATCTCTCATAAGTACATCAATGGATTCTCTCATAAACACATTAATGGATTCTCACATAAACACATCAATGGATTCTCACATAAACACATTAATGGAATCTCTCATAAACACATTCATGGATTCTCACATAAACACATTAATGGATTCTCTCATAAATACATTAATGGATTCTCACATAAACACATCAATGGATTCTCACATAAACACATTAATGGAATCTCTCATAAACACATTCATGGATTCTCACATAAACACATTAATGGATTCTCTCATAAACACATTCATGGATTCTATCAGCATTGTAGTTCTCCCTTCTCAATAAATAAATTTAATTTTCTTCATCATACTTCATGGAACAAGCACACTTTGATCTATTTAAAAACCTTTAACATGATTGAGGACCAATAAATGTCTCAACAGCTTCTGGATGAGAACAAAGACAATTTAATCAACTTCAAGGAGTTTGTCAGTGCCCTGGGCACCATGTGCAAGTCCGACATCACCCAGAGGATCAAGCTCTTGTACCTGCTTCACCTGCCCCCTGCCCTGCTTCCCACAGATGTCTTGGATGACTCGCCTGGATCTCCAAAATCTGGTGAGCTCCAATTTTTGTAATGTATTCCATTACAGGTTAAAAAAAAAAGTTAATGATAAATAAAGGAAATAAACAAGAAAATATAGCGTAGAACTTAGTGATTGTAAAATTATCATGACAGGTCCAATGTTCATGACAGGTCCAATGATCATGACAAGGTCCAATGTTCATGACAGGTCCAATGTTCATGACAGGTCCAATGTTCATGAAAAGTTCAATGTTCATGACAGGTCCAATGTTCATGACAGGTCCAATGTTCATGACAGGTCCAATGTTCATGACAGGTCCAATGTTCATGACAGGTCCAATGTTCATGACAGGTCCAATGTTCATGACAGGTCCAATGTAAATCTCTTTCCAGAATCAGTTGAAGCTGCTGTGGATGCTGCAGATTTTTTTGATGATAATGAGAGCACACCCGATACACCTGCTGATGATGGTGAGACAATTTAGTGTATTAGAAGAGGGGGGGGGGGCACACATAGAACATTGTTATTCTAGGGCAGCGGTTCTCAACCTGTGGGTCGTGACCCCTTTGGGGGTCTCACGACCCTTTCACAAGGGTCGCCTAAGACCATCCGAAAACCCATATACTCCACAGTTATTAAGTATTATTTTCGTTGGGGGTCGCCACAACATTAGGAAATGTATTAAAGGGTCACTGCATTAGAAAGGTTGAGAACCACTGTTCTAGGGGGAATGATTGTGTTATCTGTTCATTCTATCTGGACATACTTCTGATAGTCCCATAAAAACTCCCATTATGATTCTAGCTTTAGAGACAATTCTTTGAGAGTGCAAGTACAAGTGCATTTTTTAATCTTTTTATTTTTTGCCCTTTTCAGTTCCACGTTGTATTGTGCACTTATTTTGTGAACAGTTTTTTTTTAAAGATAAAAACCCTCAAACCCAGAAGCTTTCATTTAAAATGTTCATAACTTAGACTCTTCAAATATTGTACAGTTTTTTCTATTTTTACTCTGTGAATTGAAGCATATAATAAAAGAAACTGCTACTTTTTTCTATATATTTTCAGATTTAGAACTTCCGCAGCTGCCCTACAATCCATCCAGCAAAGCAATGATTGCACCTCGTCCAGTAGAAGTGAAGCCGGATAGCTCAAGTGTTGACCCCAGGACCCCATTAGTAGAGATGGTACCACTGGAGACCCCGCTGGATGATGAGGATGATGAAGAGGACAGCTTGTCAGAGGCAGACAAAAGTGACGGCAACTCAAGCGGTACTGATAAAACTTCTGGGGAGATAAGCCAGAGTGCAGGGGAAGTAATTCCGCCAACACTTGATACGCCTAAAGTAAAGCGCCCAGATAACCTTGTAACGTCCAAAGGTGATTTGTGGAACTTCTAACTTGACATTTTTTATTGTATGGATTAGTTTCCATCATATCAGTTGAATTCATTTTGTAAAAAAAGATTGAATTGAAATGTTGTTTTAACTCATTCCCGGCGGTTGCCACTAAATGCGTCCTTTGGTGGTCCAAATGTGTCCCGGCGCATAGCGACACACCTCTCTGATTTCTATTTAAAAATAGCAATAAAATCTCCAATCCCTCAATTCAGCATGATTTCCATTTAAAAACCGGAAGTTTTTATGTTCTTTCACTTTCAATCTATATGTGTTTTAGTACCGCACTTCTATATCTACCATGTGTTCGTCCTAGGTGCCAAAAATCAATATTTTGGTCTTTTTTTTTTCAATATTTTTTCGCTATCAATGTTACATTTTTTATTAAACCTTATTCATTTTTGGATGCATTTGTCCTTAATTAATTAACATCAATTAATTTTTAGCAGCTTTAAAAAATATTTTGAAAATGTAAATCAATTGCAAAATGGAGTTACTTCCCTTTCCCAGGCATATAAATTAAGAACGGAAGTAGCACTGCCTCAAGGAATGAGTTAACTTGAATTTTTTTGGTTCAGATTTATCATTAGAATATTTATAGTAATCTTTGATTTAAATCTATGTCTTGCAGAGCCTCCCAAGAAGATCCACTTGCCTACAAAGGTTATTCCCAAGCTTGCAAGAAGTGCACAAAAGGAAGAATTTGCAAATCTCTCTAGGATGGGCCAGGTAAGACATCTTGGGGAAGTACAATGTGCCAGGTAAAAAATTTTGGAAGGAATAGGATGGGCCAGGTAAGACGTTCTTGGAGATAATCTTTAATACAGAAAAAAACAATTATAATAAATTTTTTATTTGCTCAAAATACGGATAAATGTCAAAAAGGACATTAACTTGTATGTCAAATAGAAACTGCTAATCAAGCTTTATGTTATTTTGTCTGTGTATTCCAGATCCAGTTCATCCAACTGCTGCGTACTCTGTACGACATGTTTACAGACTCGCCAGAAGAACAGCAGCTGTACCACAGCATTGCCACAGTGGGTACTTTACTCCTGCAGATCGGAGAAGTTGGGAAAAGATTCCGTGTGTCCAGCTCCTCGTCAGGCTTGTCAGAATCTGATGGGCCCAGCCCAGTCATGGAAAGGAAGCTAGCCCCCCCCCCTGCTGGTGGCAAAGACCAAGACATCAAGACGTCAGAAACAAAGATTTCGGGTGGACGGCTCCTGGAAAATGGGAAGAATGAAAATGCCGTAGAAGCAGGAGCTCAAGGCGATTTCCCATCTTCAGTTAGAAAAGATAATGAAAGTGGAGATGCCATGATTATATCTAAAGATATCAGTAGTTCAGCTGAGGGGGCAACAGCTTCTGATCCCTCACAGTTGTTGAAGCCTGCCGGCCCGAGTTCTCCCAAAAATACCAGTAAGCCCGACCTGGACTGGTCGATTTCTTTTGAACAATTCCTTGCCTCCCTGCTGACAGAACCATCTATTGTTGATTATTTTGAAAGAATCTATGACACAACAGATGCTGTTGCGGCCCTTAGAAACCGACGCCTGACAACACGCATAGCAACCTCGTCAGAAAAATCATGAAAATGACAAATGATACTTTTTTGTAATAAAATTTATGGATACTTTTTTAACCAGTTGGTATCTAATGAGCCATTTTGAACCAATGGTTTTCCTACATTGTAAAATATATGGATTCTCATTATTTAAATTCTTTAATGTCTTGCTCCCTCAATGCTTCAAGGCTAAGCTTCTGAAATCATTCTTTTATATCAAACTGGAGGATCCAGAAATATTTGCTTGTTTTGCAATTATCTTTAAAAACTTAAAACCCAGCTGTGCTTTAAGTATAATTTTTCTTAAGCTCTATTGAAGGAGATCTAATGGGATGATTTTTTAAAATTAGGTAACAATTTCAAGCAGTGGTTCCCAAAAATAACAAAATGTACATACAATTTTATTTCTATCGATGTGTAAAAAAAGAAATGGTGGGGGCTGTGTACAGGTTAATTCCAAGATTTTAACAAAATTTTCAGTGATCAACAGCTCATCCATCCTACTAATTATGATTAGTTGAATTGTTACAATTACATTTTAATTTGTCCCGGTAATCTTAAATACCAGTTGGTATTCTTTTTTAACTATCCCTTTAATTAAAAAAAAAATATTCACTACATCGTGCTTGTACTTGTGAGAAACCGACCTAGCTCGCCTTGGGAAAACTTGAATTTAGCAAGGGCACTGAGAATGAAAAAAGTTTGGGAACCACTGCTTTAGTATCTTTCCCATTGAATTTGAAGAAATTAATGTAAATGATCTGTGTTTGTATAAGACAAAATTGGTCTTGTGGAATTGAACTGTTTGCCTACAAGTGTTGGCATGCAACACACGAGACATTAGACTTCTGATACTTGGGGCATTAGAAAATATGGAGGCATTATTTATTATTATAGTTATAGCAATATACTCATGTTTCTGTTGTTAAAATGTCTAAGGAACACTATGGCTTCAACAAATATTTTTATAATAAAAGGTCAGTTGAATAAATGTTCAATAAGCTGACCTGGTTGAAACCATCTCTAATGCATTACATCATATTTACACCATTGCCAATGCTCAGTGACCAAACAATCAAAGTGCTGTAGCAATAATTAGAATTAGTAAAATGATGCTTCATTTCATAAAACCTGTCAACATGCTGGAACACCACTCTCTTTAGCATTCTAATGTCTCTAATCTATGGTACACTTTTTTTGGAAAGTTTAGAGTAGTTGAAATTGATTTTCTTGACTTTATTGTAAGCTTTAGGTATGGCTTGAGCCATTGAATCATATTTAAGCAGTGTAATTTTATAGCAATGTATTGTCTTTATGTGGTCTTTCATTACTGCTATCTTCACTTGCAATTAATTTTTTCAAACATTGTACAAGTAAAAATATACATATTTTTATGTTTTAATTGAAATTTATCAAAGTCAAAGTGTGGAATTCATGTAGAATATTAAATTTCTTTCACTATTAAGTTTTAAAAAATATTTTTCTCCCTCTGGCAGATTATGAAATTGAAATTTCACAATTTAGTTTTAAATTGGTCCTAGTCCTATTGAAGATGAAACTGTTAAGTTTAACATCGAAAATTATGAAACTATTGATAAGGCAATAAGTTTTGTCAGTAATGAGATCCCCTCAGCTGGAGATGGAAAAACATGAGTGCCTGAGTCCTGGAGTTCATATAAATGTCTTGACTGAATCGGAAACAAAACTCGTAGTCCCGAACAGTGGCAGCTTGTGAGCAGTGCATTTGTTTACTCTCCCTTTATGATTTACTTGGTGGTTGTGATTGGCTAGAAGATAACGGTTTTACAAAATAAAGCCATTTATATCATTTTCAATTAACTGGTTTTAAATGCACAGTTGAAAATTAACAATGAACACTTCTGAACACCATTTTTTGATGTCAACTCAAGATAAATTTCAGCGATTTACTTTGTTTTGATATTATGTTCAGTTTCTGGAACTAAATTTAATCAAAATGTTTCTTAAATTTTGTTTTTTTATCAAATCTTCATTAACTGAAAATATTAAAACCATTGCTATTATTTTGTTGGTTATCTTTGGATGTTTTTCTTGCAAATTTTATGACAATTTTGAAAGTCTCAAAAATCTGTGTGCCATCAAATCACTTGGTTGGTCCAAACCTGATCTGGCCTGTGAAAGGATGATGTCTAAAAATGGTTGACTGGCATGACTCACCAGTTCTATCTAAACCACTTGAAGCCCTGACCACTAATGGTCCATCAAAAGTCATTTTACAAAATTATGTAAATATCTGTACAGAAGGAATTAAGATATTATCTAAACAATATTTTAGAGGATATTGATAATTTCCATTCACACCCATCATGTAAAGTCATTATCTTTTTTATCAAATATTACAGGAATGTCTTTTTGTCATTTTCAAATATCTTTCTGAGAAAACGTGAGGTAAATATATTTCTTTATCAACTGTGGGGTTTTCGTGGAGTTTTTTTTGTTGATCTATTAAAAGTGGTGTTTTTATAACTATAAATTTATTCATTTATAAAACATAAATTTTCTTGTATAAATTCTGTGGCACCTAAGCATATTTCAAAAGGAAAAAAAAAAACAGAAATAGAGAAAATGCAATACAGTTTTATGACACACCAGAGCAGAGCTGTAAAGTTAATGATACAATGAATGATTCTGTATTGAGTCCAAGCTTTAAGGGTTGGTTGAAAACTGTTAATATTGTTAATTAATGTTTAATTTCAGATCAGGTTAAAGAAATAAGCCACAGAATTGAAATGGCCAGATTGGCTATCCATACATTTCAAGTAATCTATTTTTCATTGTCCGGCCATTGAATTACATTTTACAATCATATTTTGTTTTGATCTGATACCAACTGTTCAGTTGGAATTTTAGTTACCAATGGCTTTGTACTGATAGTAAATTTTAAAATGTTTAGAGAAAATTAGGTGATGCCATTTTTCAAAAATATGTTTGGATGACCAACACTTAATTGCATTTTTGAGTCATGTTATTACAGACTAATTATTTAAAACAAAAAGTTTTTTCTTTTAAATTTCAACTCCCCAAATCTTAAATTAATTTTCACATTTGCTCTAACTCTAGTAATTTAATTTGAGTCTTTTTTCAGGTCTTTTTTGTCTTTTTTTAAACTAATACAACTATTCCTGTATATATGTAAGCAGGTGTCATTTCTGGGAAGGTTTGTTTTCTAGTCTCTGACTTTCTGTTATATGTTTAAGTCATAGAATAAAATAGCTTGACAACATTGCTTGTCATCAATTTTGTTTGTTTGTGGAAGTCATTTGAGATGTTTAATTACCCGTACTGTTTAGTGATTGAGTTTTATTTGCTGTGTTTGGTTACTGCAATAACTTACTGTGTTTAGATACTGTACACAGCTATTGTGTTTACTTGCTTTGTTTACGTACTGGGTTTAATTATTGTTTTTAGTCTCTGTGTTAATTTATTTTATTGTGCTCAGTTAGCTGTCTAGCCCTCAATTTCAAAGGGAGGCTACCTGTTTTAACTTAAAGACATTTAAAAAGTGAAACCACCTCTGCCGAAACAAACGCAACCCTCCATGAATGATTAATCTTCTAGTCTAATTAAACAGGGAGCAACGTACCTAATGCTCTACTTTCATTGGTTCTAGTGAATTTTCAATTTATAATTATAATAGAATGTCTTATATATAGTGAATGTCATAGAACATAAGGTGTTGAAATCTAAGATCGGTTGCTAAACAGTGGCAAACTCTTGACACCACGTGTTCGCCTTGAGACTTGCGGAAAGGGCACTTTCGCATTTGCTGGTCCAACAATTTGGAACGCCCTTCCAGTCGATCTCAGAAACAATCAGACACTGGAGTCCTTTAAAACCAATTTAAAGACACATTTATTTCGCAAACACCTTCTGGGATGATTGTCTACCATATTTTCCATTTAATGCATATTAGCTGTGTTGCTCACGGTTGAAATGGGCTGAAAGACTTTGACATTGTATGCTTGTAATTAATTTTTGTAGTGTTGCGTTTGTTTTAAATGTGGTAAATTATAGATTTTTTTTTTACTCTTGTACCGCACTTCGAGCCTTTGGGGATGAAGCGTGTTTTTGAAATACACTTTATTATTATTTATTATTATTAAACAAAGGCAATAAGTTATAGCACTAAAAAGTTATAAGAAAGCAAAAAAAGTAGTATCGTTGCTTCGAAATGCAAATTAGGAATTAGAACCCTTGCATTTAGTTCCAAAGTGTGTATTAGTAGTAAGACTTGGGACCTTTACGTTGAATTGTCACTTAACTTGGAACGGTTGCATTGACGAGAGTTGACACCCTTCTATAAAAGCACCAACTTCAACATATTCATTTGATGCCCCGTCCTCACCACGGGGCCTCCGGCCTCACCAGGACTATTGCATTTAAATAAGGCTGCGACTATTCGTACCCGGGTATCAGAAGTGAGAGAATTAAGTTTATAAACATATTCATCCATCCCTGTGGCGCTACAGCCCATGTAGGGCTTTGGCCTGCCTCACCACTTCCTTCCACTCAGACCTAACTAATGCCTTTCTTTTCCATGCTTGGACTTTCAGCTGCTGTAGATCTTTTTCTACATCATCTATCCACCTAAGCCTAGGTCTGCCTTTGAGCCTTTTTCCTCTGGGGTATTGGTGATGCACCCTCTTCGTTCCTCTGTCATTTGGCATTCTCTCTAAGTGTCCTGCCCAGCGTAGCCTGCCTCTTTTTATTTCTGCCACTATTGTGGGATCCTGATATAGACTGTATAACTCCTGGTTGGTTCGTATTCTCCATCCATATTCATCCTTTGTTGGCCCATATATTTTCCTGAGAACTTTCCTCTCCCGTGTGTTTAATAGGTTTTCTGCTGTTTTTGTTAGGGTCCAAGTTTCACTTGCATATGTTACAACTGGTCTGATCACAGTTTTATAAATAGTTTTCTTTGTTTCTCTTGTAATGTTTTTACTTTTGAGTATTTTCTGACTACTGAAGTATGCCCTGTTTCCGGCTGATATTCTTTCTTTTATTTCTGTTAGTAATTCGTTTCTTTCATTTAACAAGGATCCTAGGTATTTGAATTGATTTACTTTTTTAAAAGTTTGGTTTCTAATTTTAATTGTTTCATCTGTTTGTTCCTCTCTTATCATGGTCATGTATTTTGTCTTTTGGTTGTTAACTTCCAGTCCTGCTTGTAGAGATGCGTCTTCTAATTCAATAAAGGATTTTGATATGTCTTTAATATTTTTCCCTAGAAGTGCTATGTCATCAGCATATGCAAGATACTGAAGTGGTTGGTTGGAGAGGGTGCCCGTTGGTTGTGGGTCTTGAGTTTCCCTCAGAAAGTATCCTGTTATCGTTCCTCGAGTGTCAATGTGTATGTTTCTAATAACTCTCTCTAATGTTAGGTTAAAGAGCATACAAGACAGTGAGTCTCCCTGTCTTAGGCCTCGTCTAATATGAAATTCCCTTGAATATTCTCCTTGAATCTTGATTTTGCTTTTTGAGTTGTTTAGTGTTACATGTATTAGCCTTGTCAGTTTGTTGGGTATCCCAAACGCCTGCAGAGTCTCATATAAATAGTTTCTTTTGATGCTGTCAAAGGCCATTTTATAGTCCACATGGAGTTGATATATACTGGTATATTATATTCATAGCATTTCTCTAATAGGCATCTGATGGTGAAAATCTGATCAGTCGTTGATCTGTTAGGCCTGAATCCACATTGGTAATAACCTAGTATTTCTTCAGTGTAAGGTTGTAGTCTTTTGGCAATAAGCTTCGTCAGTATTTTGTATGTAACATTTAATAGGGAGATTCCTCTGTAGTTTGTGCACTGAAGTTTGGAGCCTTTCTTGTGTATTTGGGTTATTAATGCTGTTTCCCATTCTGTTGGGATTTTCTCTTCTTGCCAAATTTTAGTTATAAGTTAATGTATCTGATTGTGTAGTTCGTTTCCTCCATATTTAATCAGTTCTGCTGTGATAAGGTCTTGTCCGGGGGGGGATTTGTGATTTTTCATGTAATTAATTAACTCTTAATCCGATAGTGGCAAACTCTCAACACCACGTGTTTGCCTTGAGACTTACGGAAAGCTCACTTTCGCATTTGCTGGTCCAACAATTTGGAACGCCCTTCCTGTCGATCTCAGAAACAACCAGACACTGGAGTCCTTTAAAACCAATTTAAAGACACATCTATTTCGCAAACACCTTCTGGGATGATTGTCAACCTTATTTTCCAGTTAATGCATAATGGCTGTGTTGCTTGGGGTTGAAATGGCTAGAAAGACTTTGCAATTGTATGCTAGTAATTAGTTTTTGTAGTGTTGCGTTTGTTTTAAATGTGGTAAATTATAGATTTGTATTTTGTTGACTTTGTACCGCGCTTCGAGCCTTTGGGGATGAAGCGTGTTTTTGAAATGAACTTTATTATTATTATTATTATTAGTTTCTTCTAGAATTGGGCATTGTATAAAAGGGTCTGGTCCTCCCTGTGGGGGTTGCTAATCTTCTTCTTGTCTATTGTCTGCATTCAGTATGTCCTCAAAATATTCAGCCCACCTCTCCAGTACTTTACTATTTTCCGTGATTAATTCTCCATTGTGGCTCTCACACATTTGCGGTCTGGCTTGGTATCCATTCTTTTCACTATTTAGGCCTTTGGTTTAGGAGAAAATTGCATCTATCACTGATGGTAAGATATCAGCACCTAAATTAGGCATAATGACTCTGGCACCCCACCTTCCCTCAACTTCATAAACTGAATTCATTTCAGTTGGGAGCACAGGGAGTCTACTTTTGGCCCCAGCTTAATTTCACCCCTGGAATCTATGACCATATTGTCCAACTCTATATTAACTTTTTACTTTATATGCTAAGACTAAGACAATCAGTAAATGTTCTTGCTTTTCTTCATTGCACACAAAATATTGGTCTGCTTTCTTAATTCAACTGCAAAATTTATTATGGCAAAATAAAAGCATTCTATTCTATGGCTTAAAAAAACCATTAAAGATGTATGCCAAAAACATTGTGCACGGTAAAAGTCTTTATAAGATCTCAACTTTAATTTTGTAAATAAATGTATTAGTTTTGGTTGGACTCTTCAGGAATACAGTTTCTTCCCATTGGCAGTTGAAATTGACATGAAGATGTGAGCACAGAATATGAGTCTTGAAAGTGCAGTCTGGTCTAGTTGTGTCAAGTTAACCATCATGTCATGTTAACCATCATGTCATGTTAACCATCATGTCAAGTTAACCAACATGGTAAGTGGTATGGATGATTTTATTATTTACTAACTATTGAACAGTGCCAGGTTTTGGTTGGTTGAGTGTGCTGTTAATTGTTTAAATTGTGGGGTGGTTACATTCAGCCAATATAAGGATTATCAACTTTTTATAATTTAATGCCACAATTAAAACGTTTCAGAATATTAAACCATATGATTCTTGGGATTTCAAAATGTATTTAAAATTGATATTTGTTAATTTATTATTTTCATTCATTAATAATTTTATATTTCTGATCATATCATGGGATTTGAGAAGATTTTTTTAAATTGAATATTTTTTTTTAAATGAACAAAATAAAAATTTATTATCTTTTTGGCCAAATCACTAACTCAACTTTATGTTAAAAATTGTTTGTAACAAATTAATGGGACAAAATTAAAACATAATTTCTTATTATTTGGTAGGAAGAACACCACAGTAACTGCCAATTAGTTTGACCAAACATTTTAACAACTTTTCAAGTATAGAAATTATTTTCAATTAACACATTTAAAAAATATATCCTTTATTTTTTTTCTTATAACAGTTATTCCTATAAGGCAATGGAATTCTATATATTACCAGATATCTATAGCTGAAGTGGGTTCTTGGCTTGGTAATGGACAAGAATAGGTAATATTAGGTCAGTTTTGATAACACCAAATTTGTAAAGCTTATTTTCATTTTCATTTAAACAAAATATTTAAATAGAAACTATATATAAACTATATATATATATTTTTTTTTTTTCTATTTCTATAAACCATTATTTAAATCTTCAAATTGTTTTCTATTTCTAACGTCAACTAAAGATGAAACGATCAACAACCACGGGCAGCTACAATAATGGATGACCCATCAACAACCTCTGTTTTAGATCCAATGGATAAATAACTCTTCACCATCTGATGTTTAGCTTCAATT